ATACTCACAGATTAAATTTTCACTACTCAACCTCTTAATCTCAAAAACATATAAAGGGGAGTTTACCATAATTTTCATCAAGTACTCCATAATCATCTCATAATATGTTTTACTCTTACTTATATTAATATTTCGACCTTATAACAAAAAAATAGATATCATCACTCACTCCTTAAGGCCCAAAATATACTTACAATTTATAATTCACATAATGTAAGTAAGGATCAAATGAGAATTTTTAATTGGCAATTGAAATTTTCAAACACATATAGATGCTCAAAATAAATAGGCCTATTACAATAGGTTCGCGATCCTAAACCTCTAAGTGTTTTTCTCTGTTCACACCTCTTGAGCTATTTCCTATAATATTGAGGATAGTAGGATGAGTACAAACACTCGATAACTAAGGTCTGACTAACCCATACTAATACATGTCAATTAGTTTAAAACACAAGTGGCATATAAATAATTCTTCAAACTAGGTAAAACATTTAAGAATATACATCCACATTTACAAGCATGACAGCAAATTAGGAAAATAATGCTTATAACAATTTCCATATTAAGAGAGTTGGTCACACAAGTCATTGACAGGTAATCAAAAATAATTAAGACTCAACTCATGATTATCATTATCAGGGTCACAATACAGACAACCATATCAGAGTTGGTCCACATTTACTTGAGCTATTTCCTGTAATATTGAGGATAGTAGGATGAGTACAAACACTCGATAACTAAGGTCCGACTAACCCATACTAATGCATGTCAATTAGTTTAAAACACAAGTGGCATATAAATAATTCTTCAAACCAGGTAAAACATTTAAGAATATACATCCACATTTACAAGCATGATAGCAAATTAGGAAAATAATGCTTATAATAATTTCCATATTAAGAGAGTTGGTCACATAAGTCATTGACAGGTAATCAAAAATAATTAAGACTCAACTCATGATTATCATTATCAGGGTCACAATACAGACAACCATATACCCTTACTCACTACATGTATGATCACACCTCCCTTATATTCTCCTTATTTCTCTAACATGAAACCGTGGGCTATAACACAATGGAATAGTCTATATTTCATGACTTCCCTAGCCTAAACACTTGTGAGGAAATTGCCTAGTCAAGGCACACCCAACTCACTTATGGGACACAGTTTTTTCCATTTCTTACACTATAGGGTGTCATACACCCTAGAATAACTTTCTCGTTAAACCAGTAGATAGTTAGGTAGGTTCAAGTCCCTCATTAAACTAGTGGGACAATATAGATATAATTAATTTGGGTGAACCATCACATGGATAGGGCCTTACCACGTGGATTTATCACCTACTCCTCTTCACAGGCAAATTCTCGCCTCTCAAGATCATGCAATGCATATTTATGCAAGAATTCACATTTTATACAATTCATAGAACTTCACATAATCAATTTCATTGAACTTCATCATTAAACAAATCATTAGATTTTTTAAATATATTTTCATAGAATTTCAAATCAAATAAGTTATTGAACTCTAATTTTCCAATCATTGTACCTCACACTTTCAAAATCATTAAACTTTGCTATTTTAAACATTATTGAACTTCTCATAAATAAAGATTCATGTTACCTCTCAAATCACAAAGTTATTGAACTCTCAATAAATATAATATGAAAATCCATCGATATTGTTTTTAAAGAATTTCACATCACAAGACATAAAACTCACAAAATCAATCTAGTGAATTTTCTAACAAATGAAGCCACCCTTGCATTTCATTTTAATTTACACATTTCAATGATCAAACATAAATCCATAAACTAATAAACACACAAAAACATAAGATAGAATTTTCCTAGTTACCTCAAACCTTTAAGAGGTCAAAGGTTTTACCCATCAATTACTCACTGCCAAAGCTTTCAGGAAGCTTGAATAGTGTCAATAGTAGTCATTCTACAAGTATTTACTATGCAAAACATCAATATTCATATTTGAGCTATTTTTCATTAACATTTCAACATTTCTTGATACTCAAGATTTATTTTTGACTCATGTAAAAATACCCATAAGACTTTTTAGCTTCCTTTAACTCTCATTAATAACATTGAGCTCTTAAATGGTCATTAATGGAACTACATTGTTCCCAACCACCATATTTATGAGAATTTTGGACATTTAATGTACTCCAACTACTAATCATCATAAAATCATAAATATCAAATTTACTTAACTCAATCTACTCCCATTAACATTATTTAAGTCAATGGGTTCGGACCCATAGCTTCTATGGATCGAAAATCATCATTATCAATCAAACCCTAACTTTTACCATCAAGAAAATGGAAGAAGAGAGAAAGATTTAAGGAAGCTTACTTTTAGTATTTATAAGCTTCAAATTACTCCTACGAGTCGGTTTCTTCAAACCTTAACTTAACTCTTTCGTCTCTCTCTCGGTTCCCTTTGTTTTTCTCTTCTCTTTTGCTTCAGTTTCATGACTTAATACAACATAAATCTAATCATGCACTGCGATACATGGCACATAAAGCCTCTCCCAAGCGTGTTGTCACACACGTACCGCAGTAGCTCATCTACAAGTCATGATGCGTGGTAAAGAATCATTTTCTTCAGAAATTCTTCCTCTTCCATTCCCTGACAACCTGATTCTCCTTCATACTCTTGTTTAAAGCTAAAATTGAGACCAAACACGCCCATTAGGTCTCTCTGGCCACACACCTCACTAATACACTTAATTAGTCTATTTGAGCTTAATTAATTTGAATTAAAATTAAAAATGTTACACACAAACACACTCTCTCTAACATTTAATTATTTTTTATATCAATCATTGTTATGTTAAAAAAATAAATTTTAATATATTAATATTTAAGAATTTTTTAATATTTAAAATTTTAATATAAATTTTTTTGTTAATAAAATTAAGAATATTATGATTAAAATATTAAAAAGATAGTTTATAAAATTAGGATATTAAAATAAATTTTTTTGCAAAGTTAAAGAACTAAATACGTAATTCAACCAATTGTTTATCAGTACCCAATTACACTCTTGTGATGAGTATGGGTTATCACTAATGAGATTATCAATGATATAACCAAAAAATAAAAGAAATTATCAATTAAGATATGAATATAACAGTTGAAAAAAATAAGATATCAACATAGTGCTTGTTAAAAGACTAATAAATAATAAATAGTAGTGCTCCTTTGGGAAGAAAGTAAGCCTCAAATCTTAAATTTTATATCATGGACAGAATTTATTTGCCTTAATTGATAATTATAACAATTTGAAATTACAAATATTTTAAACTTAAAATTTTATAATTATAATTATTGATAATTAATTTAGGGTAATACACCAACAAAAATTAGATTTAGTAAAGAAAATTAGTACTCAAACATGGAGAATTAAGATTTAAATTTTTAATAATAAATATTCATGTTTAATGTTGGATGATATTGATTTTTTTTTTTTTGAGAAAATGACACAAATATACCTCCCAAATAAGTAAATAATATAAGAGTATTGTAAAATATAATAATTATTTTGAAGTTTCAAGTGACTCCTCTGACGTAAATTACTTTAGTAAAATACTAACCCAAGGAGCGGGAGATGAAGGTGGAGGATAAGTGGAAGCAAATTGGCCTTCGACAACCACGGCGGCAATACAGATGAGACCGAGGAAAAAGATGGATTTGGGATCCATCATGTGCTATCCTACGCACTCTCTGTGGCTAACCTGCACAGCTAGAAGAAAAAGAAGAAAGGAGCAGAGAAGAGAAGGGAGGGTTTTGGAAGGAACCCATCGCCAGAAGATGAGAGCGCAAAATAAAACATTTTGGGTGTTCCTTTCTCTTTTTATTCATAGGGCTAGAAAGGTAATTTTACTAAAATAATTTTATGCCAAAAAAGTTTCTTAAGACTCCAGAATACTTATTAGGCTAAAATGTACGTTACTTCCTCCGTACTTTGAATCACGTACACATAACTTTTTTAACATATTAAACTTTACAATAAATTTCCTCAACTTTTATATTCATGCGAGTAACTCTATATAATTAATTTTATATATTAATTATCTACACATAATTTAAAGTTTAGGGAGGTTATACAGTGTATAAATCAAAATTTAGAGACTTAATACACACACAAATAAAATTTAAGGGGTATATGATTAATGGTTAAGGGTAATTTGCATAAGCCTAAAAACTCAAGAAGATTTATCATTAAGTTTTAAAGATTAAGAAAGTTATTTATACATGATTTAAAGTTTAAGAAAGTTTTATACAATTTAACGTAATTATTATATTTTGTGGTACTCTTATATCAATTATCTATTTGGGAGCTATTTTAGTGCCATCGCCCCCCCCCCCCCCCCCTCTCTTTTGGGTATAATGTATAAAAATTTTAGGGAAACGCTGTTCTGTATCCTTCTTTTCGCCCTTGGTTTTGAACTCGGGACCTTCAAAAATCGGATCTCTTTGGGGAACACTTGCTTTAACGCCCCCAAAAATAATCGCCTGCCATTTTAACTCAACTACTCCTTCTAATCCTGGTTGGTTTCTGCTAACCAGGTGTGATGTAATTATTATAAAATTATTAAAGGACATCCTGTGGAAGACAGGATCGGGCATTATTCAATCAGGTTCCAATATTACTCTTAACTACACTAAACTCTTAACATTATATTTAATTTTCATCGTTAATGACATACACGAAAGAAAATAATTAACGCCCTAAAATATATAAGATGACTTGTAATTAATACGAAGAAGACTTAACAGGAAGCAGAAGGTACCATACTTTAGGCGAGCACACGCTTCCAGGTCGGTATATAAACATTGTACCTTCTGCAATCCCTCCCTTGTGTCTTCTAGGAAGTTAAAATAACAAAATCAAAACATCTTGAATGAACCCCCCCCCCCAAAAAAAAAAAAACAGAGAAGAGCCCTTCCACCATTTCTATACCCGCATGCGCAGCCGGGTTCCAAAAATTGCAAGGTTGCCATTTCCTAGATCAAGAAAAGTGTAGTTTCAAAGCGCTATACACAATTGCTGCCTCTCGTGATCTACTATAATGTTTTAAGCCCCGGGCGTAACTGCTAAGTTAACACATCAAAATTGAGGGAAGAAAAAAAAAATGAAAACTCTATCGCCCTAAAATGAATATAATTAAGAGGGAAATAAACAATACAGCCTCCCAAACCACTAGAACCAATCTTTCCATTTAGAATACTGTTAATAACTAAAACCGTTACCCATAAAATCCTCTTCGCCACTACTTAAGGATTCAAGTACTTGACTATCATCATCATCCTCATCGCCATCTGTCACAATCTCCAATATTCCATTTCCTCCATCAAAGTCTAAATCATCCATAATGAAATCTCCGTCGTCGTCGTCATCAAGATCTGTTACACTGTCATCGTCTTCATTGCTCAAATCATCAGCATCACTCTCACTTTCCCCACCAAGTCCGGGGCCCAGTAAAGGATCCACAACAGCATCATCATCCTCATCCTCATCCTCATCTTCCTCCTCACTTTCAGCATCATCGGGATCAGAATCATCTTCAGTTGGCCTCCTACGGCCAATTTCATATATCCTGGCAGATGCAGACATCTCATCTTGATCATCCATTGTAATCAGCCCAACAGATGAATCAGTTGGCTCAGTTGCAAAATCAAGCACGCAGCGATCCAGTGGAATAGTGGCAATATCAGAATAATTGACTGCATCCACAGTGCGGAAAGCTGAAAAAAGAGGATGCTTGACTCGACGTGTGTGGACAGCTGACATTACATCCTCAATATTTCGCCTTAGGATTGCATAAATTACGTCGCCACGTCCATTGAATGTTATTGCCGTTTGATCTAATGAAGGCACACTTCGTAGCAGTCTGAATTTACGCAAATCCCAGACTTCTGAGTTTATAATAACCTGGTTAAAACAATTTTTTATAAGCATCGGAAAGATGGGGTAGAATACCACCATGCAGATAACAAGAATACAAATTTGATATTTTAAATTAACAAATTTTAAGCTCACTGGATATATTGGGCACAAACAACAAAACCAACCTAGCAGTAGTTATATCAGGCAAGCACTCTTCGAATGAATGAGAATGGCAAGAACACACTACTATTTCTATATTCCCCAACGCTAAATTAGGAATCAATTATATATGCTCTTTCTACGATCTAAATTTATTTTAATATAGATACTCAATTCTGCATACCTCATTTCCAGCAGGATGAAAGCCTCCACCCCCATAGTCTGTGAACTGATCAAAGCGATGAACAGGCCCAGAGGCCCGCCGATCCCATAAGACGCCATTCCAAAGCAGCATTGAGTCAGAAGGGCTAAAATGTATCAAGGAATAAACATGACCCCTGCCTGTTGAACTGGCAAATGTATCCGACAGCTTTGACTCTAATTGAGCAGTTTGAATATCATACAAGAGGATTTCCCGTCGAACAGGTTCTGATGACAAGGCAGCAAAAACATTGCCATTATTGCTAAACCTGGCAGCCTTGCACCCATCAAATGAATGGGTAGGGCCCATTGACACCGCTGATGCATCCCACAGCCTCACTTCTTGGGAGCTTGAAGAAAGCAACAGTTGAGTCTCTCCCGAAACAAAAGATTGGACAAGTGTTAAAGGAGACTGATGAGATCCAAAGGTCTCCACCACATTACTGTTGTTGGAGTCGAATGTTTTGAGTTCTCCATTGTGGACCCCAACAGCAATACGAGAAGAGTCCCCAATAAAAGTAATGCATGTCAATAAGACACTAATAGAATCCCGACATGTACGCCATGGCCTAAACCTGCTATAAACAAATTGCCGGTCCCTTCGATTCCCAAGCACTCCACCATAGGTATGTTTAAATTCACGTGTAGCAAGCCGAGCTGTTACATTAGATGGAGCATCAAGGCTTCGCTTTGGTTCAGGACAAACATGTGGGTGCAAAAGAGATAGCGGAGGAAGTGTGGTAATAGGAGCTGGGCATTGGCGATGCTGATGCTTTAAATACTGAACCACTAGAGAGTCTAATGTTAAACGCTCTTGATTGTTGGGCTGAAGGTCACCTGATATTTGGGAGGATGGTGTCAGTTGACCAAGATTCGAGCTGTTTAATTGACCTTCATCCACATACTCACCTGTGTAACGTCCTTGTTGACTTCTCAAGGTGGAACTTGGAGTTAACCCAACAGCATCATTCTGCAGGCTGCTTTTCCGGGTTGTACCAGGAGTTGGAAAAATTGGCGATCGAAGCCCTTGATCCCCAGCATTGAGTCTCTTTCCAGATGATGACAATACTCCTATATCCTTCAAATCGGACAACTTGCGTTTCATAGGCAAGATGATCGGGGTCTTATACAGAGACTCTGCATCAATGTTATGTTTAATTGAAGGTTCTGATGGAATCTCTAATGAACTCGAAGATTCAGAAGACTCCTTCCCAGTAGTCAATCCCTTTCGTACTTGTGACTGCTGAGAATCAACAGATTGATGTCTTGAATGTAGGCCAAAAGAAGATGAGAAAGTCAGTGTTTTTTTCTTGGAAGAGATGGTGGAACCAGACTTCATGCTGGAATCCTCATCCTTTGCATTGTGCTTTAATTTGCTAGTAAGAAATCCAGAAGGAGTCCGACCAGAGGGCCACTGAAGTTGCATTGAAGTAGCTTCCTGTGAGGTGGCTGCTTGTGCAAGAGATGATGGAGCAACCAATGATGGCAAAGGATTCAACTGAGCCTCTTTAAGCAATGTAGATGCAGTTTGTGACAACCCAGATGCTTGTAGGTGCTCATGAATTAGGAGCAAAAGCTCCCTAAATTTCCGGAAAAGCAGAATACAAAAGAATCATCAGAACAGAGGAAGACAGAACTGCACATATATAGGAAAATTTGACAACAAAATATTTGACTTTGATTCAAAATAAATGAAAAGCCACCAAATACCTAGAATGGTAAGTAATAGGAGTGGCAGCAGCTATTGCTGCTCTTTCAATGCGCCTTAATGTAGGAGTAGCTGCATCAGTAGCTGCTAACGTACTTGCACGACCTGAGTTGGTCACAATCTACAGAAAAAAAGGAGGTAAAAATCAATAGCACCCCTTATGCAGCACGTCAGTGCATTGAATCTGCATGTATCAGTTTGTGATAGTCGAATATTGAATACAGTCAACAACTAACATTCTCACTGTTCAAATGCCAACTAAATAGAACGCAACTCAATGCTAAAAAATCAACTGGATTTTCTTGAATTTCCTTAGTGAGATTTTTATTTTCAGAAGCATATCGAAACCTCCCTGAACAAGGAAGCATGTAAAAATAAAAATGCAACATCAGCTGGAGGTTTATGCATGTTTCCAAGGCAGGTCAACCTAAGTTTTGTACATTTCAACTAAGTCTTGTGATAAATCAGGATAATTGAAAGAAGTAAACTATCTGTATATCTCTATATTGTGTAAAATCTATAGGGAGCCACATTATTCATTAAGTCAAGTGGCTCACTCACAATTCGTGCATAGTATGCACCCACAATCTAGTTTTACCAAAGTGACAAGAAATAAGTTAGGACGGTGCTGATCTGCATGCACTGAAAGCCCCCCTATCAGTGTATGTCCAAAAATTTGCAGCTATCCTGAATCATTATCAAATTTCTATTAAAACAAAATGCATTTCCCAACATGTTTTAATGTGACACACGACAGTCAAACTAATACTGAAATCAGTAATTAATGCAAAAATGTAGAGAAGATAACACGTTAAATTTTTATGGAAAAATGGAAGCACCTATAGGCTTGCCAATATGGGATAAAGGTGTTTCAGAATTACCAGTTTCATTAGGATGGAATGCATGGCAAAGGAGAGACTCCAGACCCCTCCTTACCATCTACAACCCAAATTGTTGTGTTCTCCAAAATGGGGAGGTTTGGGAATAGAATAGACTAGTAGTAGAAATACAATCGTACACTCTTTGGCTTAAAACTTAATGCTAGCGTCACATTCTAGTTATAAGAGTAATGTCGGAAAAAATAATTTACAAGCCATTCCATGTTATAAATAACTTTCTCCCTTCATTGAACTCAAACAATGGAATGGCATATAACTAGCCATTCCACTCTTTGAATCCATTTCATTCCCTCAAAAACTCTCAAACATAAATAAAAGAAATAAACAGGAAAAGACACTGAAAAGTAGCAAATAGAAGAGCAAATACAAATGAAAAGCCTGCAACAAGCACAAGATAGCTCACCCCAATTAGCTCAATTGCAGCCTGGGAAAGTTCAGCTTGCCATCTTCCCTGTTCTGTTCCAGGTGTCTGACTGCCTGAATCTCTTATCAGTTCAGACAGCTTTTTCCCTACCTAAGAACACATAAAACCAATTAAAGCCAGATTAAAGGACTAAAAAAAAAATTTGAAAAAACCAAGACATTCCTTTCAAATATCAATAGCAAGTATAAGCTTGTAGCAGGGTTACCCCTTTACTTTGGAAAAATTAATTATTTGATTCTTGTAGTTTTGACCAAATTGTAACTCAATCCTTATAGTTTTAACTCGGTTGTAATTCAGTCCTTGAACTTTGCCTCTTACAATTCTGTCCCTATCGTTTCAATCATTTAAATATTGGTCCCTATATTTTAAAAAATAAAATTATAAAGACTAAAAATATTTTAAACTTTTAATATTTATATTCCCTATAAAGATTAAAAGAGTTTAGTAATTTAAATTATTAGTCATGAATTTTAACATAACTTTCATCTCTACAATTTTATTTTTTAAAATATAGAAACTAATATTTTAGATAATTAAAAATATAAGGACTGAGTTACAAATCAAATCAAAACATTAGGAACTAAGTTACAATGAATAAGTTCAGAGACTAAGTTACAACCAAGTCTAAACTACAAGAATCAAATGATTAATTTTCTCAATTTTTATTTTTATTTATACTTGACACAAAGTTTGACCAGTATCAACAAGATATCGAGCTTGCTGAGATGAGAACAGTTTGAGTGACAATGTGTCAATTACAATGGGCAAAATAGTTACCTGAAGCTTCGTCAATATATGTGCAATAGTATCATCTCTGGCTAAACCAAGAAGGACTCGACATGCTAGAGCACGAAGGCAGTCTAGAGCAGCAGGAGGTGAATATATACGTGGTTGTAGGAGATGCAGCAGGACTTTTATTCCATTATTAGAGCGGACAGCCTCTCTTGCTTGACGATATCCTTGTTCCAGTTGGGCAGCCAGGCCAGCACAACCTGCTCCAGCACCCAGAGATATTCTACGGTCTCCAACCAATCCTGAAGTTGCAGTAGCACCAGGAGTTTGTGGAGTGCTGTTAACAATCTGTGTAGTAGCTGAGGCAGCACAGCCTCGATCTGTAAGACCAGATTCTCCATTCCGCTCCCTCTGATCAGCCTGGTTAGAAATGTGAACAGCTCGATCTGAGATATTACGCTCATTGTTTCTATCTCTAGTCTCTGTAGGAGGACCGTTTGCAGTCTGGGTAGAAGCTGGCTGCTGACCTTGTGCAATTAGAGATGGCTTATTGCTGATTGAAGGCGGAGGACAAACAAGATTGACTAACACACTCAATGCAGGCTGAATAATCTGAAATGTAAACCTAAATAGTTAATCTGAGACAATATATAAGCATAATTGCCACGTCCACAGTTGAAAAAATTTTATTCCCCCTCCCCCCACCCAAAAAAAAAAAAAAAGAGTAAAGGCTACACCTGATAGCATAAAATGTTTTACCTCAGGGGCCACATGACTAGTAGCAACGTTTGCTGCATCCAAAATGACTGCTACGCCAACACGATTATTGCTTAACGTTGCACTTACAATCATCTTGCGGCTGCTGGGTACCAGTGTAACAATATGCAGGACACCCAATGCATATTGAAGCAAATCATGCAAATATCGTTCCACAGGTGGAGCCTACAAACGACCAAAGTGAATACAAACCTTATTGAAAAAAGCAAGTGTAAAATTAAATATACCATACCTGACACAACTCCAACATCGTAACATGCCCATTACATGCCAAGAACTTCTCAACTGCAAGCCAACGTGTTCTAACAAATGCAGGGCCTAGCTTCCGATCTTTCTGTAACTGCACGAATACTGCATCAATTGCCTCACTACTAATGTCCAGTGGCTTGTATGCTGCTCTTGCGCTTGGAATATTCCTAGCAGCACTGCGACTGCTTTTGTTTGGGCGAATGGAATCCACCAGCAAAAGAAGATGCGCTCTAAAATATTGCCTCAAAGCAGCACAAGTGTGAAAAGCTATCTGCTTCTCAGATGATGTCAGTACTTCTGCAGGTGATCGGTCATTTCGAAGTGATCCCCCGCCTGAGAGGCCCAAGGCCCCAGAATTTACACCTGATCTTACAGAAGCAGCATCATTTAGAAGGCCCAGTAACTTCTGTAATCCATCCTGGGCATCAAAAGCATCAAGAACTGCTCTAAAGACAAATGCAACACCAAAAAACAATGCTGCATTCTTCCGTGCCTGGTCTTGGGAGCACTCAAGTAGTTGGAGTGCCAATTCAACCACATGATAGACAACGTCTGGTGGAAGAGCACAGACCCGTTCCATGATTCCCTTAAGTAACAATATAGACATCAGAGAAAGGAGCATAAAAGCCTCAGACAAGTAATAAATATATATAACAGGGTATAATGGATAAATATTAGGCATCTTACTTCACAATAATAACTATTATACATAAGTACCTGCAAAGAACCAATGGCAAATAGGCAGGAAGAGAGGCCAAAGAAAGTTTGAGCCATTCTAGGGACAGCAAGCAATTTTTGCATGCCCCCACGGTCCACAAAAAGTGCAGCAAATTTCCTATGAGTAGCCAAAGAACAGATCAGTTTCATGATATCAGGCAGCAGCAGGGCAATCTTTGATGCTTCTCGATGTTTAGAATTCTGATGCAGAAGTGTAAGACACACATCTACCCCCTTCTCATGTAATACAGGTCCGAGAACTTCAACATATGCTCCAAGCGTTTCAAGGCACTGAATGCAATATTTTTCCCTCAGCAATGCAAGTGATTGACTGTCTGGGATGAAGTAATCCTCATGCTCCTCGCCAGATTCAGTTTCTCTGCTACAGGCATTCTCTGTTTCAGAATTGATGCTGGAATTCCTGCCACCAAACAAAGATGAAAATCATTCCAGGGACCAAAATAAGTAGGATGGCAACTGTTCACATCAGAACTCAAGTTGATGCAGCTTCTAAATATATTCTCACATACCTTGAAACTTCAATTGCAGATGCAGCATCGATAACAGTTGATGCAGCTCTGGAAGCAGCCAAAACAGCAGCTTCTTCATCATTAGTGGAATTAAGTTCCTAATTTATATAGCAAGAAAATCCACCATTAAGCGTTTGTGCACATAGAATGATCATATATATATATATAATAAAAAACTATACAATCTTCAACATACTTCTGAAGCTGCAGTTTTAACAAGTTCAGCAGCAGCATCACCAGCTGCTTTTACAGCTTCTTCTGGTGCATTGGCAGCTCGGGCTTCAGCTTCTGCTGCTCGGACTGCTTTCCTAACAAGATCCAAAATATCTTTGCTTCCAATATGGCAACCCTGAAAACAATCATCATTATCCTCTCTCTCCAAAGCAGAAGTTTCAGAAGCGATCCTGGCAAGGGTCTTCCTGGAATCAGCCACCCTTCTAGCATCAGCATTCCTTATTGTGTTCCTATCTTTGACGTTCCTTCCCTGTCCTGATTGATTAACAGAGCCTGGAGACGACAAAATTGGTTCGCTTTCTACAGTCCCATCACCAAACCTTCCCTTTCCTCTGGATCTAACCCATCCACGGTTTACACGCCGCCGTGAAGAGTCATCTCTTGTATTGTCATCATGATCACCAAATTTTATCCTTCCATCACGTGCATCTCTACCATGCCATCTATCATCCCCATCAGTACCAGCACCTTCACCCAACCCATCAGGCAGCTCACCATCAACCCAAGACTCTTCTTGGCAAGTTTGTACAGTAATGCCTCTATCTTGATCCCTTTCAAGAGTACGGTCATCTAAGGCCCTCTCATCTGCCATCCTTGTATCATCTAAATGACTTGATTCTAGGGCCTGACGAAATCTACCACGACCATCATCTCTACCTCTTGTTGAAGTATTTATAGAAGCATGCCTAATCTCAGTTAAATGACCAGTATCTTTCTGGCTGCTACTTGTTTCCCCCAGCGCACGAAAACGAAGATAACGCATAAGCTTGGCTGACAAGCCAGACGTCAATACATCTTCCACTACTGAACCTCCACTGAGATCAGCCCAAAAGTAAAATGGATATTAAAAACGGAAATGAGAACTAAAAAAAAAAAAATACATTTAAGCATGATAAATACCAACATGCCATAAAAAAGTGAAAGAAGCACACAAGAATTTCATGAAACTTCTAAATAAGAAAATTGCATATTCGTACCCTTCCAAACACACTGCAAGGAGTCCAGTTGAATAGGTTTTCAACATTTCAGAATCTGAGGCTTCCCTTGGCCCTGGGTTATGCTTCAGGCTCTGTTCTTCCACAGAAGATCTAATATTCTCATCCATGACCCACTCTTTAATGTTATGCAGTACAGGATCTTCAAAATAATGAGGATACTGTCCATTTAAATTATCAGATTAATAGGACAGCACATGCAGAAAAAGATGGGTAAAAGAAGGGATGATTCTATTTGGGAAAATTAAAAAGACAATCTTACAATCCAAGTCAATGAACAGCTCAGAAGAAGCCTAGCAGCAGCAGCCCAAATGGAAGTAGTGTATCTTGTATCTGACAGAAACTTAGTCGATATCAACTCAAAGAATTCATCATTTTCCTGTGGATAATGAAAGAAATAAGGGTGGCTGTGAATGAACAGCAACTAGGATAATCATTTCAGAAAGAAGAAGTAGCCTACGGAAAAGGCTGAAAAAAGAGTATGGACTTCCAAAATACCCTGAGTAAGCTCCCAAGGCGCCCAACATTATGAGAGGCACGGGCATTACTGGAGGAGGAATGACCATTCTCTTCCATGTATCTACATTGCACAATAAATAACATTGACTGACCGAAAGAAGATAGTAATGGATAAGAAATAGGTGAGCAGGAAGAAAAATTTAGCGGCGGATACTGTAATCTAACAAGTGGGCAAGTAATAAGATTTCAGAGATACATATATCAACCAACTGGCACCATGGAATTGATATTCAAATAAAACTCTCATCCCCATTCAGCCTCAAAAGGTCAAAACACAACCTCAAAAAATGTAAAAATTATTCATCAGCGCCTTATAAAAATGCCAATTAAAGCCATTATACATTAGCTGCCCAAAAGGGGGTGCGCATTTAACAAGTGATCAGGATGCAACATATTAGTATCATGTTATTTGTCAAAAAACCAAAAAGAGAAACAAGATAAAAAGGAAGTAAAACAATAAACATACAGAAAATTGATCGAAATTTAGTGGAATTTCATAATTTCACAATTGCAAGTGATAAGGCGAAATTAGCACAGAAATAAAAGAAATCGCCTGTGGAAAAGGATAAATAACTTAATAAGCATACCGGAACTCTTGGGTTTCAAGAATGGAGGCAAGGGCATGAAGCACAGTAGGTTTAGGGTTATCAGGCGCAGAAGTGATCTTCTCCATCAAGCTTAGAGCCTTCGAAACCAACTCGTCCTCCTCCTTCTTGGACGCGTCTTCTTCCTCCCCCGCCCCTTCCTGCGGTTGAGGTTGAGACAGAGAATCTGCAACTGGGGGAGGCGGAGGAACTTGGTTTTGATTGTCCTGCTCGTCCATGGTGACCTCTATGAACTACGAGCGAGAGAGGAATGGATATATAGAATGGGAGGCAAATTTTAAGGAAAAAAAAATCGGGGCAGATTATATGGATTATTGTTTTTGTATATGGGTTGTGATGCTTCCTATACATACATCAATGAACCTTGTGATTGTTTTCCGTTTCGAATTTGCAGTTGCAGAGTTTGAAAAGAGAGAAATAGCATCTTACAAAATCAAATAAACAAGGGTGGCGTGTTGCGTTTGCGTTTTATACGGGACGAGAAAATAGACAGCAAGTGCTTCACAATGGACCGGAAGGTTCCGGAGATGCAACAGCAAATACCAACCCGTTTGGAAGAACCCTAGCAGCCAACCCTTCAAATCTAAGCCCGTTTTCCTCCCCAAAAAATGTCCGTTAACGCAGGCCTAGCCAGCATGTTATCTTATTTAACGTATTCCAGGCTATGGGGGGACCTTTATACTTAAGAGTCCCGGCCCACGAAACTGCAAACTTTCGTTTAAAAACAATTTTGTAACTTGATCTCTCGTGAAATTATTCTTTTAATCGTATCTTTTACGTATTAATATTTTTCAGTTTAATTTATTGCGCATGCAATTATTAGCAATTATTTGTTGCCATCGACATATGTTATAAATTAACTTAATAAAAAAACTAATAGAATAATATTATTGATATTTTTATGTGTAAAAATAAAAAAAAATCATTTGTAAAACTGAGAAAATAATTTTTATAAAATAATATATCTTTAAACCATCTTAGCTGTAAGTGACCAAACATGGAAAAACAATTTATTTTTGGCGGGTAGACTTGAGGTCCGTTTAGGTACTCTCAATTTCACATTTAAAAAAATAAAATTTTACTTTTAGAATGCTAAAAGTTGTTTAAGTAATTTTTTTTGTAGAAAAGTATATCTTAAGAGTACATCTAAATAGTGGTTGAGAATGAATCTGAAAAATATTATTATTTAAAACTTTTGAAAAGTAAATTTAAAAAATAAAATATTATTTGACAATACTGTCTTAAATTTAATCTCTTATTTTTTTATTTAAAAAATATTTAATTTACTAAAAACATAACCATCATTTTAATAATAATAATTAGGTATCAAGTTTTTAGCATTATAAATTAAATAATTAGTCATGTTAATTTTTAGCATTATTGTATAATAAAAATTATCAATCTTTATCATATTTTTTAAAATTACAAATTTAAAAAGTACAAATAACTTGAAATTAAGATTTTAGCACTATAAATCAAATTTTTATTATTTAAAATCTTTATCATATTTTTTAAATATTTTAAATATATTACACTTGTATAACAAAAATTATAGATTATCATAAATGAATGTCTTTTTTGATAATTATATATTTAAAAGTACATTTTACTATCATAATTTAAAAAATTTTTAATGTATTAAACTGACTTTTAAAAAATATATTTAAATATAAATTTTGTTAAACAACTAATTTTAACTAAATTAATTTTTATCAAATAAATTTTCACCAAATAAATTTTTAACAAATTAAAAACCAAACACCCACTTAATCAGTTGAATAAATTAGTCCAATTTTTTCTCCACCTTCTCTCCCATATAAATGTCCCTTCATCAAGGGAGTTTTCTCTCAACTAAGGCGGTGCTCTACTGCTGTAGCTTCAGAGTCGTTCTTCATGTTTCTCCAGCTGCTCTTTCATCTTTGAGCTAACCATTTCTCTTGGCTAGTTGATATTTTGGTCTTAGTTTCTCGTGTGTTGAATTGATGTCTCTACTTTTTTCGACTTGTGAGAGGAAGAGTTTCTATCAACAACACTATGTTTTTTGCTAAGGTTGCTGGCAAACGCAGGATACGTCTCAAAGCTTGAAGCTCTTGTATCTTTTTACTGGCAGTTACTATTGTGCATGTGTCAAAAGTCTCACGCTAACTAAATGAAGGACTCTCCTAGTATATAAATATTAAAGAATAAAGTGGGCTAGTAAAATAGGCTTGAAGAAGAAGTGAACTCGCACGCATAAGACAGGCCAACTCAGAGCAATCGCTGTTGAAATCAGCTGATTCGCCCTCTGCATGCAAGTTCAAGAGGCAATGGATTCCTTTTATTGAATTATTTTTTCAAAATAAATAACCATTTTTGCTTACCGAAAAGTCTCAGTTTTTGGCTGTTTGGAGTTTGAAATCAAACCATGAACATTTTTTATCAGTAACCAGATTAATTTTCTAAACATTTTTTGTCTTCCCATCATTTCTAGACAAGAGCTTAAATGTGTTTTATGCCTGCATAACCCCCCCCAACGTTTCCAGACAGGTGTTTAAACGTGATTTATGAGAGTGTAACCGAAGCTTTAATCTGGTGATTATGAGCCAACGTTCATGTCTCCATCTTCGAGCTATATATAGCCATAGGTGCGGATAGACCCACTTGCCAGCCTCTTGAGTTTTCCAGACAATTCTCTCCTCCCTCTCTGTGTTGTTCATTTGAGTTCGTTTTGGTTTCTGCTGTTCTGTTTCCTTGCTCCGTAGGAAGTGCTTGTTTAATCTTGAGAAACTGTCGGTCTATTATCCCGGTATATTGGAATAGTTCTTAAAGACAGTGTCCTTTTGGGACGACTCAATATGTTGTTAATTTTGGACTTGTTGGGGTCTCTTTGGTTATCGGATCCAGCATGCCAAACTTGGAGGCATTGAAAAGTGGTGCAAAACAAGTCAAAGCAAGGGATGATTCGAGTAATCCTTCCCTGCAAACACGTGGCAGTGTGCATGAAGAGGATGAGGTGTCCGCTAAATGGCAATCCAAGAAGAGGAAGTTCAGTGTTTGTGATGATGATTCAACTGGAGCAATTATGAGGCCTAAATTGCAATTATATGAAAGAGCCAATGTGTCTAATCTTGACTACTTCACCAAGAATAGACCGCCTCTTGAAATAAATAAAATGTTAGATACTGTTAGTTCTGGACGTGTGGGACAGGATATTTTTACTTTGAAGGAAGTTTTGTGGACCCCCCTTGCTAGTTCAAGAATGGATGGTCTTGGGTCCGGAGTTGGGGTTTGTCTTGGCTAGCTTTACAAAATTCATTGACGGCTATGTGCGGGTTATCCCTGTTGTTGGACTTAAATTCTATGATTTCATGCATGCAACTGATTCTGTTATGGAGAACGGGTTCATGCATTCCAGATTTCAACGTCCTAATGCTGCATCCTCATCATCTGTTTTGCCTTCAAATAACTATGAACTTGAAGAACTTGGAATAGTCTCAGCTCCCCTGCCTTCTTCCTGCAAGTGGAATTTTACGTCACAGTCTGGGTTTAATGAGAGGTTTCTGCCAAAAAACCTCGTTTAGTTGCATGATTCGACTGAGAGCCTTCATGCAATGCAGCGACATGGAGGTCCGTTATCTGGAGTTGCAGCTTTTTTGGAGTTTCGTTGCTATGTTGGTTGCGTCTTTGTGTCTGTTTTTGTTGTTTGTCTGATTTGTTGTGTTTTACGGTTCAGGTTGTTTTATCCGTGTTCTTGCAGAAAAGTTTTTCACAAAACCAAAGTTTTCAAGTTTGGAGCTTTGGACTTTTAAATCCTACGGGATATTACTATCAGAATTGATTCTTAATAATCAATTCTGTTGCATGCTCGCTCGTTTCTTTACATTCGCTCTTCTACCAGTTTTTGGACTGGTTCATATGTTTTTAATAACGAGCTTTATAATTTCTTATCTGCAAGGTCACGAAAATAACGATCTTGGCCCTCGTGTTGTTGCTTTTGTATGCCTGTTTTACGTCTGTTGTTTAAATATTTCAGTGTCTGTATTTGTCCGTTTTGTATTCTGTCTTTCGGGGCCTTTAAAGGTTTTGGGCTAGAGGCCTTTTTTAGTTGTAATTTTTTGACTTTATATCCAAAAAAGGAAAACAAGTTCACTGTCCACAAGCAACTAAATCAAGGAACAATAATTTCTAAGGGCATGAAATAATATTTTCTGTATTATCATAGTATTTATTTACGAAAGAGCTGTTATTTAAAGAAACTTCTACATTATAGGATTTTCTTGATTTCAAAATCTTTAAAATTAAATATAAAATTTATTATGCTAACTAAAAACCTATTACGTCGAGCAATAAAAACTTAAAAATAACTCACGGGGGAGAATGAAACTAAATTTTCAATGTGAGCGGGATAGAGGGAGTAAGGTTTTAATTCTCCTGGCCGTCTTAATTGTAATGCCACCTTCCTTAGAAAGGTTCAGCATTAGGGTTCTAAGCTTGGCTTCCTATTGGGATTTGTACGAGCGTGTGCGACCACCCTCGCGGGAAAAGGACGGGTATGTGAGTGTGCTTAAAAAAATACAAAACAAAAAACAACGAATTTCTTCACAGGATCCAAATGACATTTTGAATTTCAATTACTCACTGGAATTTCTCAAAAGACAATAAATTAGAAAAACTAGCAAACTAGGCAGGACAAAAGGGGGGATTAGAGAATAGAGAAAAGAAAAATTACAAAGAGCACTACTCGAAGAGATGCAAGTCCCTCAGCAGAACCTGACTCGATCATGACCCTGAACTTGCAATTCCCAACGGAAGGATCTTTATCAGTGACAACAGAAAGACCCGGGAACTTGCAGGCACTATCCATCTGGTCATTTATTTGAAAGTAGCTGTTAAAAGCATAAGAAATATTACCCTTAACATCTAAGCTCCCACATGAAGTCCCATAGCCAAGACTCGTACAATCTGCATTTTGACAAGCATAAGCCACACTTGGAGCCAATTGATCATCATTCAGATTCGCAGATGGTTTCAAAATACACCATCTTTTAGCCAGATGATGAACCCCACTTGCACCCACTAAACCATTTGTTCTTGTTGACCCAAGATTAAGTTGGTACTTGGGTTGCCCATCAAAGTAAAACAACCCCCAATGGCGTTCAAAGTTACCTGGCTGAATGCTCTTTGCATCTTCATCGATTAGGCTAAACAAGTATGCATCTAAAGGACCAGGCCTCATTGGAGTCCCTTTTCCAGTGAGGTAGCGAGACAAGAAGCCTTGGTTGAAACGCTGTGCATACTGAAGATTCGCGTGTAGGTCTCCATCGGTTGGCCACCCAATTTCTCCCACGATAATAGGCAAGTTTCCAAAGCCATTCTTCTGCAATGCCCAGACCAGTGTGTCGTGGTTAGCATCAAAGACATTGTCATAGACTTTGCCATTGTCGTTTATAGAACTCTGATAACCGTCAAAGAAGGCATAGTCAACTGGGAAATTGGGGTCTGCGTAGAGACTGATGAATGGGTAGATGTTGACAGTGAAAGGAGCTCCATTGTCACTCAAGAACTTGACAATCTGCAGCATCAGTTCATGGATGTTCGGCCGGAAATCACCATCAGAAGGATTCTCAGATGAACTCAAATACACATCTGCATTTAGAGGGACGGTGACTTTAATGCGGTTACTCAAACCTGCTCTTGTGAGTGCTGTCTGTATATTTTTAAGAGATGGAAGAGTTGTGGCTTCAAAGGTGCCATTGAAAGTTGACAAGAAAGGCTCATTCCCCACTGCAACATACCTTGTAAAAATTAGAGGAAACTATAAGTAGGAAGTTATAGACGATAGCCACAAAATAAAGTTCCAACTTCAACATAGACAAAAATAAACCATTAAATAATTAAAAAAAAAGACGCTGCAAGAGACATTAGTAAGCATAAATTAAGATCCTACGGTAGGAAGTTCCAACAAAGGAGTCGTAAGCTCATAAGATCAAACCAATACACCCTCGAAAAGAAATAAGGAGACATTTGAACCTTCTGATTTAGCAGAGACATCAATGGATAAACAATCAAATCGTGTCTTATTTTCCAGCCTGATGCAATGCATGATTTGAAGCCATTTTAGTTCATTAATCCTCATTCATAGATGTTTGACAACAGTGGCGTCAAATTAGCTGCAGGTGGTGATTGTGAATTGTGAAACAAGAGACACGTGTGATCTGGAATGGAGTGCTGTGAGTAATATGCATTTTTAAAAGATAGAAAAGTTTGAGAGATAACATACAAAGATTTCAGTTGTCTAGGACTTACTAGATCTTGCAAAGTCTACCTTTGATACGCAAACCTTAAGTTTCAGATGGCACTACGCATTTATAAGAATGTGTAAATAAAGTTGCCAATGGCATGCCATGCTTTGAAGAAACTAAAACTAGAATGCCATACACCTACAGAAACCAAGAACAGAAATAAGCAGGGAAAATCCTAGTTGCAAGTGGTCGATGGCTCCCCACAATTAGTATAGGAAGAGAGACAACAAACAGCCTCATCCCACTAGGTGGAGTTGGTCACATGGATCGCACAACATCATTGAAAAATAATGGAAGAGATAAAAGCATCCAATATGGGAAGAGATAACATGTTAGAAAAGTAATGTGCATGTGCTTTTTGCTGGGAGTAGTAAAAATACTAGCAAAGGACATTTAGCTCATAGTTATTAAGTCCTTCATTTATAACCTCGATAATAACGGATGCTTCTGTCATCTGGCAAGGCACACTACTTTGCGAGATGAGGGAGGAAATTGTTCTCTTTTATATCAGTTTAGCATCACTTTCGGATATACATGATGGGAAATTGAGGGGATTGAACTATTAAAAACTGAAGTTTGAGAACCCAGATGAGCAGTGTTGAGACAAGAGATGAGGCAGAGCGTCAAAGCATCCTAAAAGCATTGAATCAAATATTAAAAGGACATGGGGGCCTCTGCCATATTAGTAGCTTAAAAAGAGGAAAAAAATTGTATTCAAGCATCAGAACAAGTAGAAAAGCCATTGGAAACGCAAAAGCTAAAGGACAAACTTTGATGAAACTCACATCTTCCGACTCAACTTTTGTTCTCCGTTGTGTAAGAATAGCTCAAAGTAGATGGAGTACCAGTTACGTGGACTTTTATGCTAATTAGACGTGAATATCCCCCACTATAATAATTGAATATTCCAGTTCTTAGTGCAATAATTTAGCGATAGAGCCTACAAGATCTAATAACTTCCCAGCCCCACCAACCAAAAAGTTTTATATAGTAAGTCATGCTAGAAGCACCAGAGCATCATGCAAGATTGGCAAACGCAGAGTTTGAGTAAGTCATTCACAAAATAGTTAGTGTGCTTTTCAAGTCTAATCAATCTGATTTTCATTTTCTGGGTTCAGAAGAATAATGAAATGTAACAATTAATATAGCTTCCAAGACGCAGTGACTTAACTGATATCAACAAGACAAAAAGAAAATCAAGAAACTAAACTTAAAGCGAGTCTACTAGACGCAACAGGAAATTCTACAGTAGCATACTGCGGAAGCAAAGAACCTGTAACTCTTTATCATTGGCGTTCAAACATCCAAATAATGCAAAAAAGAGAACATCAGTGGATCTGTAACTTCAGGTTTAACATCTATCCCTATCAGGAATGGCATTCAAAATTAATGGTTAACTAGGGTATCAGATTATACAACGGATAACAAAATAAAAGGCTAACGTTCATAGAGTCCAGCAAATATCACTATATCAGTAAGTTCAGCCCCATCAGTGATTCACATTTTCAAATTAATCCTAACCCGAAAATGGACCAGTGTAACGAGACATCATTCGCTCTAGTTTCCGAGGGGGAGAGTTCATCTATTGATACAGTACAAACCCTAAGAAATTAAAATCCAAGGCTACAAAAAAGAGGAGTTAGTTCACCTGATGTCAACGCCGGAAGAGAGATGGGCAGAAACATTTTTCGAAACCCATTTTTCAGCAGCTTGCATATTGGTAGCCAGTGTATATAGCATGTCATTAGGAATACCCACCATCACTTGAATCCCAGACTTCTTTAAAGCATCTAAAATATTTGGATCGGCGTCAAATAGCTTGACCTTCTGAATCCCATTGTCTTTTAGCATTTTCACCACTGTGGATGCTCCTAATGGGTGTGTTGACTGTGTCCCCCAATTTACACCAATCCCACTAGTTGAGCCCACTAACAATACACAGAAAAATAAAGGAGCAAGAAGAAGCCTACTGAGTTTCGCGCCTTCCATGAACTCCTTTGAAGCTTCACCAGTATACCTAGAGAACAGAAATCAGGACTAGCAAACAAATCGAAAGTAGCAAATGTGAAGGTTAAAGGAACTTTTTGGTTACCTGGATTTTGACGAGTATTGATTTATTCTGGAACTAGCTCCGGAAATCAAAAGCAGGCATGCTAAAAAAACCAGCGCTTAAGAATGCTGCGAGTATGCCTTGGGCAGATTTGATAGCTGAGGGCTGTTAAATGACGAAGCGAGGTAGAGAGCGAATGAAAAAAGACAGGCCGATGTACTAGTAAAGTTACGAAAATGAAAGCACCTTGGAAAGAGGGACAAGAAATTCTTGGAAAGCAACGAATTTTAGAGCTGCAAAGCTCCGAACAAAAACTAAAATATGTTAAATTACTCGAAGTAGCACAAACCTCCCAGGAATGTAGAAGCTATGTGCTTATGAGTTATTAGTTGAGCTTAGCATGGGAGGGGGGGAGGGGGGGAGAGTGGGCAATGAACGATGAGAAAGGAGTTCAGGGGAGAGAATCTTTTCTTCGGTTGAAGTAAGCAGAAGTAAGCAGAGGCAAGCTTACACAGCAGAATGATACTATGCTTTTTCAAAAATATTTCCAAAATCACATGGCAGCAGTGGCGGGATTCCCAAAAAAAAACTCTTACAATAAAAAAAAAATTTACAACTGAGTTTTATAAAAAAAATTATTATTAAATGATCTCATAAAATTTATAAAATATTTTTAAATATTAAATTTTATGTATTTACAATTTAATTAGAAGTATTTAAATGAACATAATTTAAAATTTAAAAATATTTTATAAATTTTATTAAACTTCTTAATAATAAATTTTGTTGTGGGATATAGGCATGATTCATAAAACAGATAGCAAGAGCAAGAAATCATGGTTGTTAGTTTTTTCAAAAACAAAAAAAAACAAATGTCATTAATGATATAATCATGTATTTATATTTTACAAAAATAATATAGAGAGACAGTAAAAATAATTATCAACACAGAATAATCGTGAACCAGATTTATCCATGTAACTTGTGATTATTAAATGTGTAATGAATATCCTTATTAGTAAAAAAGTTGGTAAATCAATTTATTTCTTGAACTTGGATTTAGGGAGGATGATAACTAAGAACCCAACAAAATATCAATATAAAACCATGAACTTTTTATAGTTGAACTTTCAAAATTTAAGATTCAAATTTTGATACTTATAATTTAAGGGGCTGGAATTTATATTAATATAATTTCAACGTCTTTGATCATTTTTTTTTCTTGACTTTATGGAGAGACAATGAAAAGGTATTTCAATAATCCATGTATAATTAAATTAAATGCGCAGATCAGAGTGCAAGTTTAATTAATTAATATTTTAATGTGATTCGTTCCCGAAATATACAAGTATTAGACTAGCTGGATGTAGTTTATTTGTCGCAGAAGTACCTTGCTTCATAGTTGAATCCACGATCTTGTGATGCCAGAGATAACACGATCCATAAAACCACGATATATATAGTCTTCTATCTCTTTGAATCCAATTCTTGCTTTCTAGTTTATAAACCATGAAGGGGACGCGTGAATGAAGAATCTTTGAGCTATGTTGCGATGTCAATCACTGTTCCTCAGTTCTCATGACTAGGCATTCTATGCTAGAGCCGGCGGCAATGATCCTGAAACCAGATGTTTTGACATTTTCTTCTTCTTCTTTCCTTGTTTTTTTTTCCCGCCCCCGGTCCTTTTCCAAGCTGAGGTTATACTTGATAACCTTTATCACTCTTCTTTATTTGCTCCCTGTGAGAATTACTGAACGCAAGCACGTCCTTTGAGAATGTTCTTGATGCATGTCGGGTGGAGTCAGGATTTAAAAATAAAATGGATCAATGTACTGAGCTTTTATAAATTTTTGGGTGGCAGAATACAAAAGTAAATAACACACCTCCTATATAATATAAAGAAAAATTTAAAAATTTGGAAGGGCCATGATCCTTGCTAGTCTGTCCACCCGTCCTTGAATGCATGCTGTGTGTGATTGAATAAAATAGGGTATTTGGTTTGGTAGAAAGATATTCAATAAAATGGGGAGTGAGGTGACGAAATGAATAAGACTTTTTGTTTCTTTTTTTGAGAATGGCAACAAAATATAAAAAAAATATACATTTCTTGTAAAAGCCTCTAAAAAAAGTTACAAGCATTGATCTAAACAATTATACGAAAGAATTTCAATTATAACTTATTTTTATAATTTAATTTTTCATTTATAACTGAAATTCTTAAATTTATAATTATTTGAATTAATATTTATAGCTTACTCTTGACAAAATATCAAAAACTTAATTATCATTAATTTTTTAATTTAATTATCATTCTCCCCTTCATCTTTTTTTTTTTTTTTAAGGACTGAATGAGGGAAAGCGTTTTTCTTCTCAAATCATTCCAACAAAATGCAACAATAGTAGCAATAACAAATTATTAATAATAATTTTTCATATAAATAATAGCAATGATAGCTGGGGAGAGCCGGAAAATGTTTGCGATGCAGTCAGGCATGTCTCATGGAAGTAGTGCTGCGCAGCAGGCATCATGGCAACTGACACAGACACGACACCCTGTCCTGCACCCTCGAACAAAAATCACGATGAATCAGACCGGGGCCCATGTCTTCATATATTCAAAAGCAAATGTTTCGATCCAATGTCAATTAATATTTATTTTATATTTTAATATAAAATCTAAAATTTATAATAACTAATATTAATTATTATTGATCTTCCGTTTTAAACTCTACATAATGCACAAAATTTTCCAAAAGAATTGGAAAAGTGTTCCTAGTGGTTTCTGAACGTTGGGGATTGAAATTTAAGGCAATTATGTGATGATGAACCTTAAATAAAAGTGCTTGAAAATTTATCAATTTATCCCAATTTAATTGATAGCATATATAATATTAATTACTTCAACAATAGAACAATTCTAGCTCATATCATTGAAATTATAAACCACGTCAATGATAGTGTTATTTGAGAAAAACCAAGTTCTTATATTGCAATTTGATTTACAAATTTATGGAAAATAGTGATTCATTTGCTTATTTGTACAATATTGAATTTCTAGACACCATCACTTGCTTGAGATTACCTCCTCGTAGGCCATGCTTGAAGATCTGAACTCCTATGACATTGCTACACAATATAGACCAAGTCTTGAATCCTTACAATAATGCAAGATTACATATCATCAAAGTTATAAAAAAAAAATGTCATAAGAGTCATAACCTTGAATGGTTCAAAGTGAAATGAAAGCATCATGTCATCGAATAGACATAAATCTATTGGAGAGTAAATGGCTTTTTCATATATAAAGAAGGCAGTTTTCAATTATTATTTTATTTGCAATGACCATCAACAAAGGTTAAGGGCAATCACTATACATTGTTTAAGTTGTATTTTTCTTAAGATCATGTTCGCACATAGTCGGTTATATGTGGCATGGCATTATCAAGAGTTACAAGCATTAAATGATTGAAGATTCTCTTAACGCCTGACAAATGCATTACAACAAATGTTGTTTACAGATAAATATTCAAAAACTTGCTGTGATGACGTTATGCATGTTACTCATGTTATCTGTAATTGAGTCGTGTTAAACTCCTATATGCATGTGCTTTAATGCCATCATACTATTAGGAAAATGAAATTTAACTAGGGATAAATATCATTCTTTTTCATTAAATTGCATTTTAGTTATTGATTTTATCCCTTGCTAAATTCATAACTAAAAAAATGACTTCTTAAATTTAGCAATGGATCATATTTATCTCTTTAATTAGTGAGAGATTCGGTCCCTCACTGATTTTTAACAAGGAATTCAATCCCTCGTTGATTTTTAGTAAGGGTCATGTCACTTGCTAATACAATTCAAGATTTGATAACTTTAGTTAGGTATTAGTCTCTTACTAAATATGCCTATATTTAAAAACAGTGATGTCATATCACTCGCCGTGTGCGCATCATAACTTGTGACATGTTGTCAATAACCTTGTGCCTCATTAATCGTTGTGTCACCTACATTCCTGCCTCATCATGCCATGTATGCAATAATTCATGACACATCATTGTCCACGTCACGTCATGTCACTTGTTTTTTGTTGTATCACATATTCATTATGTTTACACCAAGGCTAAAATTTAAACCCTTGATCTCCCACCTTCTATACCTTACAATTTCATTTTTTGTCCATTAAACCAAAAGGCACCTATAGTCATTATATAATAAATTAAATATATATTATTTAACTACACAAATATATCAAATAGTATATTATAAAAATACACGTATATATTAACTTTTATTTTGAATTATTAACATGCTAAAAATATTTATATTTTATTTGAGTTATTCTTTATATTAAATTTTTAATAAAATATTATTTTATTAATAAAAATGAACTTAAAATAAACAAAATATTGAATATTAAATAAATTTATTGTGAATATTTCAGTAAATTTTAAATTTATTTTTTACTTTTAAATAAAAATAATTAAATATATAATTAAAAATCATTATTAAGTGTCAATTTTTTTTTGTGATAATTAACTAGGGATAGAATCCCTCGTTAATTATCTTATTTAGAGAGGAATTAACAATTTCTCGTTATTTTTTTCACATTTATCTTATTTTAGAGAGGGATTAATGGCCTCTCACTATTTTCTTCGTTATTATCTTATTTCATTTTAAAGAAGAATTGATAGTTTTTTACCATTTTGCTTGCTAATTTTAAGTTAAAATATGAAATAAATATTTCCCACTGATTTAGTATTTAAAAAATAGATAATTTCTTGTTAATTTATATTTTTTTAATAGTGTTATTCCTCAAATTTTACCTGTAAAGTATTTCCATGATTGATAGTTTTTATTATAAACTAATATGGCTTGGTAATGATTAATGTAATGTAACTATGTGAGAAACATGTTGGCTGAATAATATTAAAATCTCATTATTCAATGTTCCGGTGCATTGCACGTAGTAATAAATGCTAGTTCAATATAGAACCCAAAATTTATTATAACTAATACTCCTTAAGACAAAATTTTTTAATATTAAAATTGATACATTTAATAAAACTTTAATTTATTTAAAATTTATTATATTTTTGGATAAAGAAACTTGTTAAAAAATAAAATTAACACGTTTAATAAAACTTTAATCTATTCAAAATATCTTGTATTTTTGAGCAAAAAATTTGTTAAGAAATGTTATATAATTTAGGACAGATAGTATTATATATTAATATTAATTATTAGTTACCAACCATTGATCTCATGTTTTTAACCCTACATGATACACATTTTTATATAACTGTGTTTAGATAAAACAAAGACATTCAGATTTTTGCAATGATAAAATGCCTTTTAACTTAAATGAATATAAAATGTAATGTCGAACTATCTTCATGCTGTATATTGATTTTT